TTTTTTTATTGCGAAATTCATCTTTCTTTTTCACGATTTACTTATCTATTTTGCGTCTCTCTTCTGACTGATTAAGTCTTCATATTGCTATTAATCCTTCACTTTTCTTTTGGTTTTCTCATATTTGCTTCGACCTGAATTTTTTTCGTTTTTTTGGGAATGATTTTTCTTTCCCTCTATTAATTAACATTTGTGATATCCGATATTTCGTTGCCAAATTTATTCAAGTTGTCACGAATGCTTCTTTCATTATCTGATCCTAGCATTGAAGGTTTTACATACTTTGTATCAGAAACTAATACTTCTATATACTTCTTTCTAATTAAATATTTAATTGAATGGAATATTTAATTTTTGCATGATGATGTACTTGCTTCTATCAATAATTAGCCAGCAGCCTAATGTATATATAGTTCGTAACAATAATCTCGGATTTTTCATTCTATATAATATATTTAAGAACATTCGGCAAAGCCGAACTTTGTTTGGTCCAATCGTGTAGTTTGCAGTATTGTGGCTAATTTCATGAACAAAGTTAATAATAAATAACTAAATCGATATATCTTTTTTGTTATCAAATTTTTATTGTATATCATGAGATACTCTGAAAATGAATCCAAATTCACTTGATTAAAATAAAGAACAGCCATTTGATATTGTTGTCCATGAAATAAGAAATATTCACTCAAACTGCTTACTTTTATCATCCTTCGTGTCTATTACCAAATCATACATCATTTTTAACAAGGATTCTAAAAAAAATAGGTAAACTTAATAGGTAAAATCGATTCAAAACAATGTACTCATTAGTGGAAACTCATGGGAAACTCAAGCATCAGTGCATGTTTTTCTCACTTATTTTCGCATATCTTTCACCACTACGCACTAGTCTGCTGACGATAAGCATTACGTTGTGTCTGTATTTCAGTATTCTTTACTTCCTATGAGCTCTAGAATAAAGCCAGTCATAAGACATATTTGTGCTCTTCCCAATGTGCATGAATTCCACTTGGGGGAATTTCCTTCGAATAAATCCTTCGCTTGAGTCTACTTTCTTCTCCGCCGCAGTAGTGTGTTCTCGTCAGTCACTGGAGAGTGGATCCATAGTGCTTCGCGTAGAAAATTGTTGATATTTCTACTGATAATCAACATTTTTTCGCTTATTTGAAAAATGTGTTCACATCTAAAAGAATTGTGCATATATACGTAAGGCTGGTCAACGTCAAAGATGCATTCGCTAATTTACTAACAACTGAAATGGTTCACGTTCGCAAGCATCTATTAGATATTATAGGAGATGTATCTATCACTATATTTCATCCGCTCATATTATATAACATCCACATACAATTGTTATGAAAACAGAGATTTTAAGGGAAAAATATGTCAGTCACAGCAGTACTATTTAATGAAGATGCTCTATGAGTGTTGAAATGGAAGAAACTATCTGAAAATTCAAATCCACTCAGAGCTCATTCACGGTATGAACAGACGTCTCTTTCCAGTAAATTGGCACTTCGTAAAATAATAAACATATATATCTCTTATAGATATATGCGCCATAAAATCTGGCTTACCGTTTTGTAAGAACGCATTATTAAGAAGCTAGCTGCTCACATAAAAAGCAGTAGGTAACTCATTTTATCCTAATCAAATCAACCTTTTTTGATAAATAAAATAAAAAAGAAGACTGCACAAAATGAAAGGAGGGAGAATTATTAAAATCGTAATTATTTATAATTTTGCAAACTGATGTTTGAGGAAATAAAAATCATGCATTCTTCCGATTGGTTGAAGAAAAAGACAGGAAAAAGGAGTAAATATTCGATAAGAAACAGCGTCGAATAGAGAGAATACTACAAAGAATATATTGTTTTTATAGAAAACTAATAATAGCATTGTTACTAATCAGAATAAAAAGTTATATTTTCTTTCAAGGTCACAGTCCCTTAGAGTGCTGAAATGGTGTCATGTTAACCAAGGACTGCCAAGTGTAGAGTATAGGATTAAATATTATATGATTATGTAGTTATGCAGAATTGTGTGCAAAAGGGTAAATGATGTTTATTCAGTATTTTCAAAGTTAAATGCACCTAAGTAGAAATATTTGACCTACAAACCATCGATTTCGCAAGAAAATGGAATTCCACAGTTTCTTGAATTGACTCTGATGAAGATAAATTGTCGGTAGCTGATGTTTGAAATTGGTACGATGTCTGACCCAGTGCATTTTTCAGCAAAAGGTAAACAGAAAACAGGGAAATGTTTGGCATCATACGTATTATTTATCAAATTCGCAATCTGCCATTTTGTTGAATTTGTTACTGGTTAGAATTCATTATTGACGACAATACCTTTTTAAAATTAAAAACCTTATATATAACATTTTCAGTGATATTTGACAATGGAATGGCGCGTTTGACAATGTTGTAAATAGCCGAATTTTAGTGAAATGCTCACAAGTTAGTCATTTAAAGTTGCGTTAAGTCTTTTGTTCTGTTTGGTCTGCTAAATAAACGCTCAGAGGACGTTCACGTATGGTGAACATGTCAATAAACGTTCTCCCTCAAGTGTCCAGGTTTTTACGCTTTAACGCTTTTTCACTAAACGCTTTTGTAGAACTCGTCTTTTTTTTCCGAGATTTCTCGTGAACCAAATGAAAATGGCTTAAGACGGAATATAGTCCACGTTGCAGATTTGTTTACAGCTCTGCTATAATTTGAAGTTGTCACCGAGTTTTTTCTTGGCGAAGTAAACATTTTATTTCGATAATCTGAATAATAAATGATATAACCATTTTTAAAATTTCCGAAATCCACACACTGTGAAATCCGTTTTGTGGTGAATAATAGCAGTGTGTAGGTGAAACAGCCGATTGTTGGAGTGTAAACGCTTGAAGATTGTATGTCTGATTTGTGCTGTATTGGCGATTAATTGACCAAAATATCACCCATCAAAGTATCATGCATGCCTAATAAATAAATAAATAAATGTTAATCGATCATAAATGTCTTATCCACCATCAAACAACTAGACAATTATAAAACCGCTCATAACTGTAAACGGCTAACCATATTTACTCTATTTACCGATCCATTCAATTAGCTACAAATTATGTGCAATGACTAATTTTAACATAACGAAACCAAGTCCCTACCTTGTAAATGAAAAATAATATTCGGAGAATCGATCAACGTGTAGAAAAAAGAAAAGCAAAATATTTCGAACAAAATACAAAATTAGCAAATCCGATGTGATATCCTAGTTCAACTTCAAATAAAACAATGAAACAACGCTTCAAACATTGCAAATTATAAAAATCTTTTGCTAATTGATGCGGATCAAATAGGAGTAAGTTTAAAGCATTGTCTATCATGCTGAATAAAACATCATCGATTACGTCACTGAATAGTTGGTAATAGCAAGCAATAAACACGTTTGTGCTGGTTATGAAGTACAGTGAAATGTGAGAAAACACAGTGAACAAACAGATATGCAATTAGGTCACATGAACATGGCCACATAATCCAGTTACACGTGGCATGCTGACGTGGAGTTAGCAGTCTCTGATGAAAATACCACATCATTTGAGTTATTCATTTCAATGAGAAAAGGATTGACACTGAGATCTCTGAAAATAAATGGTAACAATTCTCTATTTAGCAATCAGTGTGGTTGTCGGTTATTTATTGTTTTCTACAAATATCTACATGCGTTATTTCATATTATCCTGTTTGTCTTAGTCGTAGAGCGCAGTGCGTTCAGTGCTTTATTTGTTGACATTGAAATGTGAGGTGATCGAACGTATTCACTTCTCCATTTTGTCATTATCATTCTCCAGTATGAAGTGTTTGGACAAGGTATCACAACGATGATGGGATGATGCATTTGTTCGATCGAAAGTGTGATCCGATCAACGGTTTGCATTAGATACACAGTTGGTGAATCGTCTGTGATTTGTTAGTTTCTATTCAATTTCAACGGGGTAACATCGCTTCACGTGATACAAATTGTGCTAATCAAATGTTCGAATAGAATAAGGACTGCAAAATTATTTTGCCTGTTTGATGAGGATCGGAGGAGTGAATATTGTAGGCATTGTTCTATCATGCTGAATTCGGCAACAGCGACTACATCACTGAATTGTTCATGTGGATTTTTCAATTCTCCAACTAAAACCTCATTTGTTTTCCCACAAGTTGCACCAGTACAAATAGAATGAAGGAATGGATTTACACGGATTGTGAAATGACATTCCGATTTCTGTTGAAGCAGTGCGATTTCGTTCACTTGCTGATTTATGTCACGAATAAAAAGCGCAATCTCTTCTTCACATATACGTTTGCCTTCAAACCAGTAAATTCAAATGAAAATATACAATTCTGATGAAGACGGTGAAGAAACACTAACAACTACCTGTTTCATCTATCATCTTGGCAGTCTCAACAACTTTACTGTAACCCGACATATTCGGATGATCGTGTTGATTTTTATCAGTAGAATTTGCGATGTCGTAAAATTGGAGTTTTTAGATATTGTTTTTCTGATCGTCTGGCAAGTAAATAATACACTTCTTCGGATTTTAATTAGATATCCTCTAACTAAGAACATGACACAGCACACTTGTCAACGACCATAGGAATTTCTGCTGTCTTCTTGTTTTGCCTCTCCCAGCTTTTATCAAATTTATTTTACATGAACATACGAAGTTTGTTGAGGCATTCGTTGGTTGGGCATACGTAACACGTATTCTACCGGCCTAATTTGATGAAGTTTCAATACTTTATCTATTGATCTGCCATTCCTGGTACCTATTGATATTTTCTTAACAACAGCATTGCCTAATCAGGTGGGCCAGAATGTGCGAGAAAGTTTTCGAAGACATTCATAATTTATTACTGATGGGCTATCAACTTTTCTACTCCTTACAGAGATATTTCGCAGCCGTGTAGTAATATAAAGTAAATTGAAGAGCAGTTAACTCGTCGTATAGTGAGTTAAAGGTTAGCTCGCCAACACAGAACGTCGTGTAAGCTTGTCAACGCAAATAGAAGCTTCTGCTTGCAGGCTGAGATTTCGACATACGTCAGGCAGTCGAACCAGTTGAGAATCCGGGGATAATTAGAGCGATCTTTTGTCTGGGGTATAAGCATGATTATTGGAACTCATTTTTGTGTAACTGATGAAATGAAATCAGGCTAATGCTTAATATCTAACAAACAGAATCAAAACATCTAACTCAATCAATGATTATCCAGTGGTAATGTGATTCAATAACAGCGCAACATTTGACGACGATATTCTTTCAGTAGAAGTAAAGTTATTGTAAAACAGTTACTTTTTAGAAAATCAATGAACTACGTTTGAGCAGACGATTCATTGTATTCATACAAACATTTTAGCAAACTTGTTAGTATTTCTTATTGTGCGGATTGACTGTAAGGTGTTCGCACATAACTTTGAGATCTCGATAACTTGAAAGAGGTATATTGGATAGGTAAACGTATCGAATTTACTGGATTGTAATATTATACTGATGTAGGGAAAAGAAAAAGTTGATAGCTGAAGATTTTATTTTTATTTATTAGATGAAATTTCATTCGTTTTGCGTTAAAATTACAGAAATCAATTTAATGTGCAGTGTAATATTACCCAAACAAGGGGATTCCTTGAATTCTGGAGCACGTTCTGTAATAGAAAACAACGTTATTGATGAGTTCTTGAAATTAAATTTGACATACAACTCTGAAGGATGCAGATCGCTTCTTCAAGGCAAGTAGATAAATAACAAGTACAATCACACGAACATGTTTTTGGGTAAAAACAAACAGGGCATAACACTTATGATACAAACAATATCACGGCTGAAATGTACCACAATCAAAACATCCAGGTCAGAGAACCAAACTTCGCTACCATAAAACTACAACTGTTTGAATACAAGTAGTTAATTCCAACTGAAATTATAAAAACGATAATATAAGACTGTGTTTTCATTACGTTAAGTGAAGATTTTTGAATGAACGTTCTACGCTGAATGAGGTGTTGGAACATTTCGTTGGATTTATTACTTTATATAACGTTTCAGCTACTTTAAATCTGAGTAGCAAAATACGGAGACTATTTATGTTGTGTCAAACGGCTGAATTTTGCCACTCATTACCATAGTAGTATCGGTTCGTTGACTTACTTATGAGTTTGCAACTGAATTATAGAAAGCTCTAAGTATGTCATACTGGACTGGAAATAAAGAAATGAAACAAGCACGAAAATGGATTAATTTAAATATCATAAACTTATTCATCAGTTGTAAAATCGATGGGTACCTTGACGATCATGAGTATTTATCAGTTGTATTTTGTTGCAAATGTTTTTGGTGATTTACAAGTAATCTTTTTATGAATATCGCTTACCATGGTTGTACACAATGTCACTCAGTTTATTTATCTTTTCCTCAATTAAAACGTTCAAAGCACGAAATTCTAGAAGAAGTAAATTTTCAAAAACAAACGTCGATAAATTTTCTTGATTGATGTTTTATCGTCTATCAAATAAAAGTATGGAAGTAAGATGCAGATTCGCAGTTCACCTTCATATATTTGCTTAAGATTTTATGATCTTGTAATAGGAAAGTGGGTTTAGAATTCCAACAACACTCGCTATCGGTAGACGATTTCCCTGCTTATGGTTATAATAGTAGGGTGACTTTGTACCGCTTTACACAGTATTACATAGTCATTAGTTATAACATTGCTTAGTCAACGCTTGTACTCAAGAAAATCAAAATTTATTATTCAAATTCGCTTTACTAATAGAGCATCAATTTACCTTTCACATTAGGCATCGCCAATTTATCGCAGTCTTCAATTTTGGTTTTTTTCAGCTCACCTGATGAAATATATAGATGAAAATACTGCATATGAAAAAGAATGGTTTTGATGATGACTGGCAAGTATTTCATTCAGACCTATGAGAAATCCCTATGCTAATCCTATTTTAATGTTTACGTATGCGAAAAAATTATACTAGGAAATCAGTTTTATGTCAAGATTAAAAACAGTGAAGTGGTTACTAAAAGCGCATTTACTCATGAATATTATTTCTTGTCCATTGAGGTCTAAATGAAATTGCGGCCATTGATCCGGGATGTTTCTACGTTTATTTGCCTGTATAAGAGCTAAATAAATAAAATGAAAATATATGAACCAGTAGTCAGCATTATCTTGAATAATGAATAACCTTATGTTCTTCATCTTCAATATTGAACGGTTCGCAACAATGTATCGAGCTGTTTGTTTACATCAATACTGATCATGAGGTCAATAAATAGCGACGTCAATAACAGATGAATCCTTCTACTGTGACGTTTTTATTGTAAACACATTTGAGACGCATAAACGAATAAGTAGAAATTTTAGTTCATTTTGGACAAAGAAACAGTCTAAAGAGAAGCCAAGATGGTTAGTCGTAATAGCCTGTGCATATGAAGGCGATAAGTGTGTACAACATTTACTGCCCTTTGCACCTAGGAATGAGAAATCCCTTGTGTCAGGTTATTCGGCTTAGGATTACGTTTTATTTACTTTCTAGCAGTTGCCCTCCGAGAGTGAGAATAAAAAACCCCGACAGTATTACGTACACCTGTAGTCTTCACTCATATCTTCAATGAAAGTTTTCAAGTCTAAATTATTGACAAAACAAAACAATTTTTATAATTTTACAAATGTTCAGTTTGTAATAATAGAACAAATCAAGTCAAACACATTACTTCGAAAGTCGTAGTCATCAAAGTGGACGTACTCATTTATTCATTCAAAGATGGTTATGGTGAAATGTAAATGCGTACACCTCCTTTAACCTCGAAGCTTGTGAGAAGCATAGAGCGTTCATGAGAGAATCGCTTTAACTAAGATAATTCAGTGCCCTAAATAAGATGTCTGTTTCTTACTTCAGCGTATTTCTAGGACTGAGATTTTATTTCAAGAAATGCATTCAAATTATCAGACCTGCATGGCGATAATCACTTTATTATAGACTGAATTCCAATGATATTACCGCATTATTCACGATTATTCACGTCATAAAGCGTAAGCGTTAGTTTAAGTGTGTATGTTAGTTGGAAAAAAGGTGAATGAACCACGTTTAGCAATAAATTCAATTATTGTAAACAGAACAACGTTGACAAATATTAAATCAAACCTTGTGTTCGTTTGAGGCCTTTCAGAGCGTCTTGACGCTGACTTGCACATCTCACATCTATAAACGAAAATATTCAACGTACAAAATAACGACGATTTACTTACAACCATCAATTGACTTGTTTTCGAATGCCAGCTTTTTGTTAATTTTATCTTAATTAAATTAACAAAGAACAAAATCATTTAGTAGGTCTTAATTTGTAAAATAAATTAAACATTCTGCAATAAACAACTGTTTCCATGTCACTTCTTTATATTTTACCAGATGATTGTTCAATTATGTAAAGATGTGCTTTCAGATAATCGTGCATATTTCATAATCGAAACTGAAATGTCCGAACTGATATTCTTTAGACACATCAAGTTTCCTTTTTGGCTTTACCGATGGGTAAAACTTGCATTGTAATGCACGATCAGCTGAATCACTAATATGAATGAAATTGTGACATTCATTTATTTTTATAATTTCATTTCAAGTTTCGACAAAACAACATCATCTTCCTACGTTTCTATTCCTTTTTTTATCAGTGCTTATCAAGATTCAACTGAGTTGTGCATGAGTCGCCCGTTATGGAATGTTTATTTGATCAAACAAATATGCAAACGCAGTAGATGAATGTCAACAAACGATTGAGTAATACAGTCCCTATTTAAGAATGCTGGTTAAATTCACATGTGTAAAGACTGAGTTAGAACTGTTCAATAATGAGTGAACCTGTCAAGTCTACTGATAATGTAGTGTTTTATGTATATATATTTTTCATTTTAATGTCATAAAGAAAGCAAGAATAAAACTGAAGCAGATATTTACATATCATCTGGCTTATGGACGCATTCATTTCTATGGGTAGTTTTGAAAGTTTGTGTGCTTCAACTAGATCTGAAACGGAAAATCTAAAATGACATTTCTATTTCCGTATGTATTATTAAATCAATTGTATAATATTGTGTGCATACTTTCGACCTTTTCTTTTTTTTCTTTCAGTGTATAAATCATTATAGATATCTCATCTGGAACAAAAGCGCAAAGTATCTTGTAAATGAGAAAGCAGTGTACTGTTAAAAATGTGATGTTTTATAAAAATGTTTTTACATGGACTACATCTGCCTTGTTTGAAAAAAAAACACTTCAACACTATGTTCAACAT